GAAAAAAGTGAACATCGATCTCTATATACTTCATCCTCTCGTATAATACAGAGTCAGAAGCGAACTGAATAGTAGATCGATTATCATAATATAATGTAGATGAAGAAGTCACTAGAAGTCTCAACTCGTCAAGAATCGATCGTAACCAGATAATCTCACATGTGCCAAGTGTCAGTGCTCAATACTCTGCCTCCGCTGACGAGCGAGAGACAACTGACTGCTTTTTGCTCTTCCAAGAGATAAGATGAGTCCCTCGAAAAGCACAGAAGCCTGTAATAGATCGACCGTCACATGCTCCCCTATAATTTGAATCTGAATAACAGGCTAGAGAACTAATCTGAGATTCTGATGTATAGAATAATCCAACTCCAGGACAAGACTTAAGGTACCGAAGAATATGATAAATTGCATCAAGATGAGGCTGACATGGTCTATGCATGAACTGACTAACTCGGCTGACAGCGAATGAAATGTCTGGCCTAGTGTTGGCTAGGTAGATAAATCTACCTACCAACCTCTGATAGACAGTCGGATCTCCCAACTCCTCACCTTCAGCAGTAAACTTTAGGTTTGGAATCATGGATGATGATGCCGATTTGCACCCCAGCATCCCAGTATCTGAGAGAAGATCCAGAACATACTTTCTGTGAAAAAGAACAATACCTCTGCTGCTATGGGCAACCTCAATCCCAAGAAAGTATCGCAAAAATTCAAGATCCTTCACATCGAAGGCCTTCCCAAGATCTACCTAAACCTGCGCAGTCCCCAAAATATCATCCCCAGTAATAATAATATCATCAACATATACCAAAAGAATGACACATTGTCCGGAAGTATTCCGTCGAATAAAGCAGATATGATCAGAATGACATTTGGTAAACCCTAAACGTACAACTACATCTATGCCTTCGTGCGCCTGATTATTCGGGACCGTATGACCTTTTAAGAGGGGTTGATTTCTCTTATTCGCTCTTGATGCAATAGATCATTTATTTATATTTACTAGATTTCTAGGCACCGTGACTTGATTATTTGGAAGCTTTCTGGACCTCCTTTATTTGTCGCTACTGTTCGACTGGAGGTATATTGTTCTCCCTTATTTTATCCATCTATTTATCTTAGAATTGTTTTTCTGTCATGAGTGTCCTAGTATTATTGATGATATGACTACTACTGAGGGAGTTAAGATCCCTACTGTTGAGACATTTGTTAGTACTTCCACTAGGTATAGGGGTCGACAGCGCTCGGCCCAACGTCGTCAAGGTACCCCACATCAGCGTAGATATGGGGATTCTCGTCAGTGTGATTATTGTAGCTGACTAGGACATCTCAGGGCTACTTGTTGGAAGCTCCATCCGGAGCTTAAGCCACCTCCTCGCAGCCGTACTACTACCATTGCTAAGGCACCACCACCTACAGCCATTGCTCCTGCTACTACTGCTACTGCTCCTCCTTGGCAGAGTGATATAGATGCTATCATTTCTCGCTTGGATATACTTATGTAGGGGTACAGTCCGCCTCCCAGATGGCTTTACATTACGTTCGGTGTTTCATGCGCCAAAACTTGCCATGAATCTATTATCTATACATCAGTTAGCCAGAGATTTTCACTGTGCAGTTGTGTTCTTATCTGATTTGTGTTATTTACTCGACCTGAGTACCAGGAGGATTATTATCAGGGGACATGAGAGAGATGGATTGTATTATTTAGGCGATCCACCTCCCGTTTCACCAGTTTCTCCACCTCAACCTCCATCACCTATTTTGTCTTTATCTGTTCCTAACTTGCATGCTAGTATTTTACTTAAAGTTGTCGTTATGATTTTTCATCACAAACTGTTCAGTTGTGGCATGACTGTTTTGGGCATACAAATTTTAAATATTTATGTATGTTATTTCTTGCTTTGAGCAAAGCTTGTGTAAGTGATAAACTTGACTGTGCTATATGTTCCCTATCAAAACATGTTCGGACCAGTTATATTCCTCGCATGCACCAGTCACCCAAACCATTTGATCTAATACACTCGGATATTTGGGGACCCTCTGCTGTTACTGCTCAGTCAGGTACCCGATACTATGTGACATTTATAGATGACCATACCCCGTTGTACTTGGGTCTACCTTTTGTATAGGAAGTCTGATGTATTCCCTGTTATTACTCAATTTTTTCAGATGATTAAGACATATTTCGATGTCATTGTTCGTGCTCTTCGTTCAGATAATGCCAAAGAATGTGTCTGATGCCTTAATGTCTCACATTTTTTCTCAGGGTATCCTTCAGCAGCTCACTTGTCCATATACTCCTGAGCAAAACAGAGTTGTTGAAAGGAAAAATAGGAGTCTGATAAGGATGGTACGTTGTATGCTTAGAGGTATGGGGGTACCAAAATTTTATTGGCATTTTGTTATTTTGACTTCTACTTTTTTGTGTAATCGTACACCGAGTCGTGTTCTTCAGCATAGGGCTCCCTTACAGGTCTTATTCCCTGAGCGGACACTTTTTCTGGTTCCCCCTCGTGTTTTTGGCTGCATATGTTTTGTTCAGGATCAGTCTCTTACTCATTATAAGCTTGATGATAAAACAATTCGTTGTGTCTTGGTGGGTTATTATCATCAGTCTAAGGGATATTGGTGTTATAATCCTATCAGGCGACGTATGTATCACAGTCTAGATGTTACCTTCCTTGAGCATATTCCTTATTTTTCTTCCAGTCTCGTGTCTGTCCTTCCATTTGATGATACTCCCTTTGATTTTTCATTACCACCGGAGTCGGAACCATTGATCACTATCACAACAGATTCATCGGTCTCTCATACTCCAAAGCCACTCATCCCAGTCAGTACAGAGTCACCAGTCTCTGTTTCTTTGCAGGTTTATGTTCGTCATCTTCGTTCTCATCCCCCTGCTGATGTCCTTTCTACCTCAGGCGATGCAGGTAATACTTCTCAGTTCGTTGAGTATATTGATGCACCTGTTGTTAGTATCGATGAGGTTGTTGGTACTGAGCCAGTTGTTTTACCTGATGAGACATTATCAATGGAGGATGATGATTTAGGGCGTCGTTATCCGCAGCGTGATCATCATCCAGTTGTTCGTTATAGTTGGACAGCCAGAATTTTATATCCGATCTCTGCTTATGTTTCTTATAGTGATCTGTCTCCTACATTTCGAGCTTATAGTATAACCTTATTAGATACGCCGGTTCCTCGCTCTGTTTTAGAGGCTATGCGGGAGTCCCAGTGGGTTCTTCCCATGCAGACAGAGATGGACGCTCTTCAGCGTAATCATACGTGGGATATTGTCTCTTTACCTTCAGGGGTGAAGCCTGTTGGCTGTCGCTGGGTTTACACCCTGAAATTTCTTGCGGATGGTACGATTGATCGTCACAAAGCTAGACTTGTGGCAAAGAGCTTTACTCAGGTACCAGGTCATGATTTTGATGCTACCTTTGTCCCCGTGGCAAAATTGACTACTATTCGACTGATTATTTCTCTGGCTGCGGAATACTCTTGGCCTTTTCATCAGTTGGATATGAAGAATGCACTTCTTCATGGTGATCTGGACGAGATTATTTATATGGATGTACTACCGGGATTTCGTGGTGAGGGGGAGTATGCTGAAAAGGTTTGTCAACTGTATAAGTCTCTTTATGGACTGAAACAGTCACCACGAGCATGGTTCTCTCTCCATCTCTTTTGTAACTATCTATAATATAAAATAAGACAAATTTCAATAAGGGTATCTCCAACTCTTATTCAAATTTAGACTCAAATTTAAATTCGAATAAAAAAGTAAAAAAAACTTGCTTCAACCTTGACTCAAACTTATACCAAATTAAGAGAGACTCAATTTTTTACTCAAATTAAGAGAGACTCAAATCTTTAATAGTAAGATTTCACCCTTTTTTAAAGATTCAATGGTCATCTTTACTCTCTTTTAAATTTAGATTTGCCTTCATTTAAATTTGAGTTTCTCCTTTTTTAAATTTGAGTTTATCCATTAGAACCATTTTGTATCAAATCAAGCTTTTTACTCAAATGTTAATTTAAATTTGAGTAAAAATTTGACTCATGGTTAGAGATGCTCTAAGTCCATTCAACGGTCTCAAATAGACTCATTCAATACCCACCAACATCCCTGTCATCTATATAATAAATTAGATAGGTGTTTGAACTTATGGAGAGGTATATTTCCCCCCCCCCAAATTTCACACACTCAATACACACTTTCCCCCAAATTTCAAAAACACAATACACGTACTCCATAACACACAGCTACACATACATACATATACTCTAACACACACATTCCAATGCATGCACAGTGTCATAATTTAGTGTATAGTGACTTAAGTCACAGGGTATTGCTAGTGGAAAGATAAATCGAATGTCATTGAAGCATGGATAATGTGACAAATGATAAAGTATTAATGGTATAATGCTAGAAAATTGCCAGAGATCCTTCCATCATTTCATCAAACTACTACTAAGTAACCCAAATGTTAAGCTAACATGTTTGACTACATTTGAGCATCACTTTGTTGGACAAATAAAGGAAAAAAAAAAGAAGATAATTTCTTGCTAATTGTTTGTTTCCCATTTCTGAAATGTTAATCCAAAAATCAATAGAAAATATGACGATTAGCAAAAATAAACACCATGATTATAAGGGGCATTGAAAAGTGATGCCCTTAGATGGGATTAGTTGTGTGCCACATCAATCTCTCGACCTCTTTTGTAACTATCTATAATATAAAGATAGACTTTAATTCCCTCGACCTCTTTTGTAACTATCTATAATATAAAACAAGATAGACTTTAATAAGTCTATTGAACGATTTCAAATAAACTCATCAAATGTACACCAACATCCCCTCAAAACTATTCATATTATATTATGTCTTCAGATACGGATTACCCCTAGTATAATTATAAACTTGTCTTAAAATTTCTTTTCCACTTCTACCCATTCATATAAGCGCATCTTAAAGGTTAGCCAATTATATTTGTGTCACATCAAATTGGAGCCAAATCCCAGTAAGTGGGCACCTTTGGGTGCATGTGAAGAGATAGGCACCGAGCAACGGATTGAATAGTGACTGAAATGGAAAAAAGAACCCAAAAATAAAAGGGAAGACACGTAATCACATAAGAGTAAGTAATAAAATAATGGTGGTGAAGTGTTTGTTTCCATACCATAGCTTTGGTCTTGAAAGCGAAGGCCTTGAAATCTTGTCTATTTGACGTTAAATCAATCACAAGATCCGTGAATGACGCTGGTGAATTATCTACTCCTCCTATTTCATCATCATTGTTTTCTTCCAATAATGCCCTCGTCAGCTCTTCTCTGAGCTTCATTGTGGTACAGCAGCAACACCACCACAGTAATACACAAAAGAGTTGATCATGGTCAGTTAAGAGTTTACCTCAGTTTTTATCAGTTATTTGAAGGATTCTGTATATTTTTTATGCTACACATTAGTAAGAAATCATTTATATACACTGATAAATGGTCTATCAATTGAAAAAAATAAAAGATACAAATTAAAGAGTCCCTCACTCTATTTTTCACACACTATTTTCTCAGGTTTTTAACTTATTTAATTTATCATTGTTTAATATTAAACCCATGGTTTAAACTGGCATTTTTTTAAAAAAAAAAGAAAGAAAATTGACAAAACATTCTTTTAATATTGAAAGAATATTTTTCCAATAAGGTTTTAATTTTTATTTTTATTTTTTTTGGTCAGGAATAAGGTTTTAATTGAAAAAGTAGAAATTACTATACATGGAAAGTAAACTTGGAAAGATACCATAACCAAGAAATTGATTCTGAATTACCAACCTATGTCTAAGCTCTAAGGAATTTCATTTTCTCAAAAGCCGTGTTGACGAGTGATAAAGTGAAAGGCAAAAAGTTAGACAACTAGTTTGTTAAATCATTCAGTCAAGTGGTTTTTTTTTGTTTTTTTGGAGAAATAGTCAAGTGGTTGGAAAACCCAAGAGTGGGAATGAAAATGAAGCACTTTGCTCCAACTTGCTGCCTACACGTTATCACCCTATCAGTAACAAAGAAAGATCAAGGAGGACTACGGCATATGATGACAGTATAAAGACAAAAGTGTTAGTCATTTAAATTATTCCATGTTAAAATATTTCACTTTTTAAATTTCATGTAAACCCTGAATCTTTTTTGGAAAAAAAAATAACCAAAAGAAGATATATTAACAAGATTCTATAATAATATCTCAAAATATTTTTTTGATACCATACTTTTATCTTTCATCTAGTGAATAAGGACACAATGTAAAAGTTTTTTATTTTATTATTTACATTACCCTTTTAATACAAATTAATAAAATTAAAAGCAAGTCAGTAGGTCACTTTCGGAATGGAGTACAATAGACCTATCCATACTTAGGACACATCCCAGCCATTCATCTCCAATTACCTCCAGTTCAGGGGAAAACAAAAATTATAATTACAATGAGAAGCCAAATCCAAAGGTACAAGTAGTTTTGCTGCTTAGCAGCATGGCATCTCAACAATATTTTACCACGTGGCATCGTGGTACACCACTTTGTCTATTTACTTAAATACGTATATTTATATATTTAAAGTGAAAAATCGAGATTAAAAAAGATTTACTTTTATTAAACATCACTATACCTTGAGTTTAGCTTAATATAAAATAATATTTGTTAAATTAATATTATTTAAATCTAGTGTGTGTATCTATGCACGTATATGTGATCACCCAAAAAAAAAAAAATTCTATATACGTATATTACAGAGAGGGTAATTTTGTCATAACCGATGGAACACTTACCAGATATTCAGTCCCGCCGAAAAACCTCCATCCAATACAGTCTGCCGTGTGCAGTATGCATAAAAAACAAAACCCAAACAGTGTAGTTACGTATTTACCCAAATCAAATTGAAAAATTACATTTTCATATGACAGAACAAAAACCAGCAGCTAAGTATGGTAACTTTTTGAAAAAAAAAAAAAACCAAAAATTACCGAGAGAAGAGCAAACTGCGGCCGATTCAAGAACCAAAAATGCAATTCTAACGAAGAGAAAGGGCAAAACTATCCCTAGCATCAAAACCGCCGGCAACATCAGCGTCCTATGAGGTATCCGGCGACTGGCCACCGTCCATGGCTGCGATCCTTTTCCCTTCATTACCTCCTAAACACCTCCGCCGACTTCGATGCTTTTCATTAACCAATTCGTAGCTTCGATTTCCTCTTCTTTTTCTTGAAGAATGGTGTCATCTAAATGCAAGATCTATTCTTAATTGCTTACAGATACCTCATCCAATAACCCTGTCCGCACAATAACCGCCAATTAAAAAGTGAATAATAGTGAGAGGGGGAGACGGAGGGAGAGAGAGAGAGAGCGAGCGAGACAATGAAAAAAGAGATGCAAGTACTTGTGTGTATGTCTGTGTAGAGATCAAAAGTAGTGAATTTACCATTACCTTGGAAGAAATCAGTAGATATTGCAATTTACAGCTTCCATCAGGACTACTGGTTGAATCTCAGCTTTATATATGTGTTTATATATATCCACTCTACATGCATATCTTGTACTACAGTGTAATACATATCGGCGATGATTGCTTGTAAAAGAAAGAATGAGATCACGCACTTGTGTTTGTAAAGAATAAAATATCTCCTTTGTCCACTAATCAATTTGGCGATACTGTCCGTGAGGAGATTGGGGCTATATCAAATCAATCCGAAAGCCAATGCCGCGTTAAAACCCGCGGGAAATATATTTACCACCGTGTTATGGTGGCTCTTCTCCACCCCTAAAATCTTTATAAGAGGATAAAATTAAAAAACCTTTAGGTTTTTTTTATCTGTATTCAATTCTCCATTTTAGAGAGAGGATTTTTAAAATTTAATTTTTAATAAATTTTTTTTATTCTGTTATTATTAAATAAAAAATTGACACATATACTTTTTTATTAAATAAAAATTGACTATAGAGGTATCTCCTATTAGAATATAGAATCTATTGAAATTGTTTAAAAGTTTTCAATTTTTTTTTAATTTTTGTTAGAGATGCTCTTTATTTTAGAAAATATATTTTATCTAAAATAAAAACTATAATAGTTTTTTTTTTCTATTTTGTGGACATTTAAGAGAATCCAATAAATTAAGTACTGTAATATTTTTTTAATATAAATATCTAATAATAACCCAATATATAGGATAATTAATCTTGTATAATTCAATTATTATCATATCCAACTTAATTTACTAACAATTACGTGCATTCTAAATGAATTTTTAGTGATATTATATCTAATTTCATTAGTGGAATGTGGAAGTCCTTGTTAATTCCATTTAGAAAGAGAATCCGGACCCACAATGTGCATTCCACCAAATACAAGGATGGAAGCTTCAATTTGACCTAGGCTTTCCCCATAATTACGCTTTTGACCTTTTTCTTCCAACACTCACCGACACATTGCGACACAGACAAATCTCTCTCTCTCTCTCTTTCTCTCTCCAACACTCACCGACACAATCGTGTCCTGTTAATTTAATGTCGTGTCATTTTCGACCTTATAATTTTTTGCGTATCACTTTCCATATGTGTCGGATTCGTGTCAATATTTATATTAATAAAAAATTATTTAATTTGATAATAATTAATAAAATATTATTTAAAAATTATAAAATTCTTATTTTCTATTTAAAATACTTATTAAATAATTATTTTTTATCTATAGTAATCATTAATCGTGTTATTCGTGTCAACCTTAATTTGACCCATTTATTCCTCGTGTCAATAAATCGTATTATTTTCAAATTCGTGTCAAGTTCAATTCGAGTCGAGTTCATGTTCGAGTCAAAAATTGACACGCCTAAAAAAAAAAGTAGTACATGGTAATTGAAAAATGCATAATAGGAAATGGAAATATATAGTTCTGCATGAGATTACCATTTGAAAACCAATTACTTACTGCCACGTGGTAGTGTGAATTTGAAAAAGATAAAAACAAATGAAGTCAAAAAGAGAGAACCAAAGGGAAAGCGGGTGATTAGTGAATGCTTTCATTTTCATCATTAAGAGCATGCCAAGACCCCGTAATGTTGCCGAAAAACATTGTCCCCAACGACACATCACACCCTTGAAGCATCTAGTTTTGAGAATATATATGGAAATAATAATTCAATACTGACTAAATTTTTAGATTAAATCAAGAGTTTAAATGACAATGGTAGTTGATTTGGACTTCTTTATTTGGTGTCATGTCATTTGGGGTCCAATAAAGACTCCAAATAATATATTATCGTGTCATTTGAGCTCTTAATTTGATCAAAAAATTTGATCAGCATAACATTACTTATATAAAAAAAAGTTTGACAATAATTTTTTATCTAGACCAACCAATTTGATGATGCACAAAAATAAAGTTATACTCTTTCTGTTCTTAAATATTTATCGTTTTACACAATTTTTTTTGTTCCATAATATCTGTCGTTTAATGAAACCAAAACATAATTAATATTTTTTTTTCTAAATTTACCCTTATCTTTTCAATGCATTAGATTAGATGGAAACTAAGTACTTTTCATATTCCTTTCATTCCTAATACGTATTGAATAAGAGTATTTTAGTCTTATACAATTATTTTGTACTCATATCAGAGCTATTTAACAGCTTCCTTAATCACTGTGCAAAAATCTTAAACGACAAATATTTAAGAACGGAGAGAGTACAAAATTAATCAAAAATGAAATAAAGAGGGCTCAATATAAGCAAGCACAAAGATTAAGTAATTCGATCTGAATGACATACTTCACTAAAAATGACGACGGTGACCGAAAAATCTTATTACTTAAAAGATATAGTGTATTGATATGTGTGTCATACACTCTTCCATATATAAGTGGGACTTATAATTTATAGACAAGTAAAATTAACTCCGAAAGGCTCTGATTGAGGCGATATCCTCACAAGGAGTCAGGTGAGTCAGGTAATGCTGGGAGTCTCATTTTATCCTTGTAAAAGGCGATGTGACAAAGGGTTGATCTCTTGAAGCTCACTCTATCTTATAACAAGTAAGGTAATTTTGCGAGACTGACGATGTGCCGCTAATGAGTAATGATTGTATGCTCCTTACTTCTTCTCCTCAGATAGAGGCTCCCACCTACATTGACGATAGATTGGGCCTCTTAGGAAAATAGGCTTTGCCACATGCCAATTGTAACTGAATTTTTGTTTTTCTACATTTGTAATCTGTGTTTGGTCTGCATCTGCATATATGTAAGTTGTGTTTAGGATGATTTATTAAATTTAAAAGTACTTGTTGTTTAATTACTTTTTTATAAGTGTTTTATCATAAAACACTTCTTTCAATAAACATCGTCTAGATATTCTTCTTCTTCAAAAAAAAAAAACATTTATATAAGCATGATTTTAGAAAAAGTGCGTTTAGATTGTCGATTAGAAAAATATTTATTTATATCACAATTACATTTATTTTGTTAGAACTCATCAATTTCAACACTTACCTTCGCAAAACTAACTCCTTTTCTTGTTTCTGTAAGATAATCAGCACAAAGGGGATAACCAACACCACTAGCAATATGGCTTAGACGCTCCTGATCCCAATACTCCAAGTGGATATTGTAAAGCTTGATCCTTCGCAAAAAGATCCTTAGGAAGACCTTTGTTTCGTAGAGATTTATGAAGAGTCATACAGAAGAATTCATCTACAATAAAGTTCAGAAGAAACTCTAAACTTAATTTTTGAGATGAGTTGATCTAAAAGATCGATGAAATCAGATCGAATTGAGCGATTTCTCAGTGAAAATTATAGATCGAGCGTGGATAAGAGGAAAGCAAGAAGAAGAAATCCCAGATCTGAAATATCACCTGGCGATGAAATTCCAACTCGATCCTTGAAGGTCAGTTTCAAATCCAGTACTAGTCTCACTGAATGTCGTCGGAACAGCGATTGCGGTGATCATCTATGGCGCAGAGCTTCAAAGGACACTAGAGTGTGATGGCGCACAGTGATTTGATTGTTGAAGCAAAAATGGTTGTGAGATCGACACAGTTCCGACCGTAGGGTGAGATCGGGAAAAGACAAGTTTTTTATTTAAAAACGTTTCTCATAAGTAAAAGTTAATTTTTTTTTACTTTTACTTAATAGCTTATTTAAGTATTAAAATTATTTTTATTTATTAAAAAGTGTTTTTAATAAATTAATCCAAACACTACTTTTTGTTAAAACTACGTATGATAAGTCAAAAATTCAAAAAAAACACTTTTATCTTAAGCTATCTCTAATATGGGTCTGGTTTAGGCTAGGCCTATCATTTGCCCATGCCTAAAGTCCAATGGAACTTTGGGCAGAGGGCACCAGTAAAAATTAATGAGTATCTTTTTCAACAAGTTGAGTATGGGTGAGAGAGGAGTATAGCGCACAGAAAAACATCAGGGGGCAAGGCGCGAGGCACAGGAGCATGGTGCTAGCTGGATTGTGGCTATTGGGTGTTGGGTGCTCAATGCCTGGCTAGTATTGGCACTGTGGAGTATGAGAAAAGCATAAGAAAAAGAGAAAATTTTGAATGATTATAACTTTGTGTTCGATTATTTGTTTGAGGCGAATTTTTTTGGAACCTGGATTACTTTTTCGAGATCTACCAGTGTCAAATCACAAGATCTCTAAAAAAATGTCTATTTTTCACTGAATTGAACTTTAACTACAGTTTAGTAAAAAATAAAATTTTTATGTGTCATGTTCTATTCGTGGGAAATGACAACTCTCATGCTGAATGGATGAATTCTTTGCTATTAGGCCTTTCTCGGTTTGTATCCCTTGTCCAAGCTTTTCAATTCTCTGGGCCGAGCTCATCATTTTTTTCCCAAGTCCAAGAGTTGGGGAAGACGGCATCAGTAAAATATCTCACAATGTTGACTTGGTCCCCTTTTAGTAGCAATAGTATAGCTCTTTTTTTAAAACAATAGCCTTTTTAACAACAGGAGTACTCTTAACAACAATAGTCTTTTTAGCAGCAAGAATTTTTAGCAACAACTCTTTAGTTCATCCTTTAAATAGGTGGGACCAGACATAATCTTGAAAGCTAAAGAACACTCTTGGTACACCTTGAGCAAAAAGAAAAATGTGAGATGAATGAGTGAGGTGAGAAGCAGAGAGATGAGGAGTGGACATTGAGGAGTAGGCTAGCGAGGGTGTCGGTGCCAAGGGCAGCACTGTGCAAGTGCCATGGGCGAGGCTGGCTCAGGGACAGGCGTTGGGTGCCATCAGCGGAGCAGGAAAGGTGGGGGTGGTCTTGGCTTCAAAGGCAGGGCACCATGGTCGTCGGACGCAGGGACACAGCAGGCGCTTGGGCAAGGGTAGGTTCCGGAGCAAGTATGGGTGCTTTAGCATAGATGGCGCAGGTGCAGGCGGAGCTAGGTGATGGGTGTAACGAGGGCATGGATAATTTGGGTAGTCAGGTGACGGAAGAGAGGTGATGGTGGTAAAAATAACATTCCCCCACGCACAATGTGACACAGGTGTCACAATGAAGTGGTTGTTGATGACGATGGTTCTAAAGTGAGCTCCATTTGTATTACTATTAATATCAATGTCGAGATTGTTAGGATTGTCTCCACCTTTTGTATTCTCCCTACTATCCTATGTGTCGGCCCGAGACGGGCAAGCTGCTTCTGATGACTCTTTTGGGGACATTGTAATTTTACAAAGAAGTGCTAGATAGGTTAGGTTAAGATTTCTCATTCTTATGTCCGTGTTCGTGTTTGGCACAGTTCTCTCTCTCAGCTACACGACTTGCTCCAAATGGTTGAAGGGTATTGTTGGCATTCATCTCCCTGTGGCAACGAGTGCATGGCTGGGGGCTTCTCCCACTTGTGAAGAATTTTTTACAGCCTATACGTTACAAGAGAACTCCACTCCGAATCGATGTTGGTACCATTTCTTCC